CGGAGGCAAGCAGGACCCACACCCCAACCGAGGTGACTGGAGGGGGAGGAGAGAGGAAGTGGCCTAGGGCAGGGCTGTGATTAAGGCCTGTGGGCTGGTGAGTTTAGACAGGCAGCCCCGCCAGCTGGACCACAACGTGGTTCGATTCCTTAGAGCTCTGGACTGGGGCCCGTGAGTGAGGGCGGGCCCAGGACCCCCTCTCTCCTCTCACTTATGTCGAGGAGTGATGGAGGAAGACTCTGGCCAGAGCCAACCGACAAAGCCAGCAACTGATCTGCGGGCAAAGGAGGGCGATACACCCAGAACTAGAAACCTGGCACCCGGGGCACCGGGCCAACCCGGACGTGCGCGGTCACATCCCCCTTGTCAGCTGTTGAGGGGTAGCTCAAACCGGTGGGAGGGGAGACACCCGGGTGTGACGTAACGTCACGGCTCCGGATTTTGAAACTGCTGGGTGCTGTGTTGCGCCATGCGGCTGAATTGAGGGTTTGGAGTCGGGGGACAGAGCACAGACTCCGGACCCGCAAACTGGAAGGCAGAAGGTAGGGGAAGGGAAACGGCTGGGAGAGGAAGGGGCTTATGCAGAAGGAGTGGGGAGAGGGGAAAGAAAGGGGAAGGCACCAAAGGGAAAGGGTAGAGGAGAGAGAAATGCCAAGGGGCCAAATGCAGACAATGAGGAAAAAGGCAGGAGGGGAGATGTCAGTGGGAGGGGGACAGGGTGATGCCGGGAGAGGAGAAGGTAAGGGCGTTGGGGGCTGGAGGAGGAGGTACTGGGAGAAGGCTTGAAAGAGGGGTGGGCATGAGGAAGGCCGGGATGGAGCAAGTCATGTGTGAGGGCACAGAGGGGCATGAGGGAAACGGGGGCAGAAGATGGTGAAGGGCTGGGCATCAGGGAAAAGAGGGCAAAGGGGGCAGGGGCATTGAGGGATGGGGGAGGCACCAGAAGAATGCAGGAGTAAGGGAAGGTGCAGGTGTCAGGGAATTCTGGGGGTGAAGCAGAAGGGGAGACACCTGCAGGGGAGGGACCAGCACCAGAGGAGAGAGGCAGGGTAGGTGTGTAGAGGGAGGTGTTTGAAGAGGGGATGAGGAGGGGTAGTTCACATGATCAGAATGGAGCTACTGGAGGAGTGGGCACGGGAAAGAGAGAAGGGCTGGTGGAGGGGGCAGGTCGCAGGAGGGCTGAGGGCAGTGAGAAGGGCAGGAGTCAGGACATCAGAGGAGGGTGAGGAGTTGGGGAGGCAGCAGGCACCAGGGGAGCTGATGGAACAAGGGAAGGAGACATGGCAGCAGAGAGAAAAGGTAAAGGTTTATAAAATATTTATTAATTATTTGGGTGCCACAGTGGCACATCCAAACAACCCAAATGAACTCAGTACTGGTGTGAGTTCATTTTGCTCATGGGGGGGGAAACCCTTAGCCCATGTCTACACGGGCGGTTTCTTGTGCAAGAGTTCTTGTGCAAGAACACATCCACACTGCCATGTGCAAGCTGTGCTTTTGTACAAGAGCATCTGTGGCAGCATGGACGCTCTCTTGCCCAAGAAAGCTCCAATGGCCATTTTAGCCATAGGGGTTTTTTGCGCAAGCTTGGGGATAAGCCGGAGAAAAGCGCCAGTCTAGACGCGATTCTCCGGAAAATAAGCCCTTTTCCGGAGGATTTCTTATTCCTACTTTCAAGTAGAAATCCCCCGCGGATTTGCAATTCCCTCTCGTCTCATTAGCATCCCTTTTCCGGAAAGGGACGCCAATGTAGACGTAGCCATTGGGTTAATGCAATTGCAGGATAGTTGCATGAGGGGGGTTTGATGGAGGCCAAACTAATCCCGGTTGGTAGGCGGATGGTGGGAAAAGCCCTTGGAGAGGGGTTACATGACACCGTTTGCTTCTGGTCATGTGTCCATCTTGCCCCGAGCATGATGCCTCCAGAGGCCTGGCTAATCGGGGTCAGAGGGCATGTGTGGCTAATGCAGGGGGCATGGCTAATGGGGGCCAGGGTGTGTGGCTAATGGAGCACCACCAAAAATTATACAAACCTGCCGCCCATGGTAAGCAATCTCAGAATAATTTCAACAGCAAAATTTGGCAGTGCTGACTTATCCTGTAAGTTATTTACCTGCTTTGTACAAATATAGGGCCAAAATCTGCTACCTATTACACTGGTGCAACCTAGCTGACTTCAATGAGTTTGCAAGGGTGTCAATGAGAACAGAATTTGATTCAGAGTTGCCTTTCCAGGATCTCCCATGTGGTAGAACTGGTGAGGACACTGCTAGTCACCATAAATGCATTAACCTTCCCCTCCTCACAGAGGCTGCATATGGCTCACAGCTCTGCCATGAATTGCAGTGTGTAGCTGTGAATAAAAACTCTGAGCACTGGTCCAGGTATTGTTCAGTTTATTAACTTTCCTTGTTAAGGTTTTTAAAAGGGGTGATTAGTTTAACACATTAACCCGTCTGTATATGTAAGTTATCAGAACCTTTCTGCACCCACATAGGATGGACAGCCATCCAGCTGCAACTGAATGAGTTATTTATTTGTTTATTTTAGGCAGGCTTACATGAAGTTACCTTCTGGTTTGAGGGCAGCTCAGGGTGTCTTCACTTTGCATCTTTTTCACAGCAGACAAGGCATATGAAATGGGGAATTAATAATATATCACTTCTAAAAACAAAAACATGGGGAATCTGGATATATGATCCCCTTTGCGTAAAGAATCACTTTGTGTAACTCTGTTACACTAGCTACTTTGTCAGTGCTAGAAGGAATACATTTAATACACTGCAATGAAGCAGAAGAGAGGGAAGTAGAGAAAAAATACTGACCTGCAAATTCCTATCAATGCACCAATTTGTTTCAAAATCATCATCATCTTCCCCAAATGGATTAATCAGCTGCTCAGCAACCTACAATTAAAATCCAACTGAATAAATGCCAATATGCAAAACTTAATGCTGTTGCCTTAGAATGGTTTAGAATTGATAGTTAAGATTTCATTTTCTCTCTGTCTCCCATGCCCCTTCTGCTGTGATGGTTTGCCATTCTAGCTGCACTAAGTTGTATAGGTGTTTTGGCATTTTAGGTAATGTCAGCATATTAATTTTGGTCCTTCTTTGGTTTGGTCACAGATAATGCAGATGCTGGTGTATATGAAACTGCAGTGATAGAATTAACAACTCAGGCTTCTACTTCAAATAACTAGTAAAGTTATTCCTAGATGGCAGCAGAGTTGGTCATAAGTCACTGCATCTTCAGGAGGTACCTTTAAGAAAATCAGTGTCTCTTGTGAACACCAGGTAAGTTCAGCCCTGGATCCCAGCTTTTAATTTAGTACTCATGAGAGCTGTTGAGTGACGGTCCTGGTTCATGAAGTAATAGCTATGTCAGCCCCAGGATACTATAGAGACAAGATAGGTGAGGTAATAGCTTTTATTGGACCAATTTCTGTTGATGAGAGACCCGCTTTTCAGCTTACACAGGGCTCTTCTTCAGATGCTGAAGTAAGTAATTTGAGATAGACACGCTTTCAAGGTTAAACAGCATACTTACCTCAGCATCTGAAGAAGAGCCCCATGTAAGCTCAAAAGCTGGTCTCTCTCATCGACAGAAGTTGGTCCAATAAAAGATCTTACCTCATGCACCTTGTGTTGCTAGAATCATCTGTGTAGCTGCACAATAAGTACACAGTACCTAGGCAGGGCTAGTGGACGCTTTCCTCGGACTGTATCTCAAACTGTACTGGAGGGTCCATGGTTAGAGACTGAGTTATTCTCTCCTTTCAGTCCTGTCAGGCACAGTGGTGGTGCTTATAAAGCAAACACCAATGCCCTAGGAACTGAGAGCATCCATTAGTTCCATATAGGTCACTGTGATAAGCTGGGTCTCTCCCTCAGGTCACAGGCAGGCAGTTAGTCTCTTTCCCATTAAATGTGCTCTCCACACTTGGGAGCTTTATTCCAGCCTTTCTAGGTCCCATTTAAGGGGTTGTTCAGTCTCTTGGTTTCCTTATAAAGGTTTGTCCTTGTGGGTAGCGGAGGCACACTTAGCTGTTTCCACTCTTGCGGGGCTCCTTTTAAACTTGCTTCCTCCAGCTGGTCTGCAGGTGTGCCTGTCTGGTAGCAGCTGAACCCAGAGTGGCTTGTTTGCCTTCTCCATGTTGGGGTGGGTGAGTGCCCCCACACAATCACCCAACACCCACGATGGTAATAACATTTGATTAGTGGTAACCCCGTCTGGATTTGAATTGGGGATTTCACAGCTGAAGGCTTTGTGTCCTATCATTAGCTTTCTCAAGGGGAGGCCAATGGCATCCTTCATGCAGCCCTCTCTTACATGCTTTGCCACAACCAATGCTATCAACATGGTGACTAAATGCTGACTGATGGCCTTACTGTCTAAAAAGCAACTCAAGGGACCAGCCCTGTCAACCATCTACAATAGCTGTTTACCCTACTCCAAACAGCACAACTGGGAATCTATCAGCTGATCTTTCCATTCTGAAGTCTGGTTGGCTTGGCCCTGTGATGGGGTAGCTCTTGCTGAGCTCTTAGCCACACCGCCGTCAGGCTGAATGTTTCTCTCCAGCCTGGGCTAGTTGAGAAAAGGAAACTTCCTTAAAGATGGAATGCAGTGGAAAAGTGGAGACGGAGCCTCGGCCTTCACAGAAGCAGGGGGATCCCATTCTGTGTTGATGCTAACTCGGGGAATTGGGGGCTGGGACAAAGGGCTTTGCAGTGGAGCTGGTAAAGGAACCTACTTGAGCTAGCAATAGGCTTCTCCATGTTTTTCTGAAAAAAGATGTATCTGTAGGATGGGGCACGTGGTCACAGGGAGAGGAAGAGATTTCTGGAGAGTGTTAGAAATGTGTGGGGAAACTCAGGCTGGTCTCTGGGTTTAGGGCCTGAGACTGACATGTTAAGAATAGAATGGGCTGGAACTTGCCCTGAAACTGGGTGATTCCTGCCAGCCTCTCCCTCAACAGCCCATGAAAGCAAAACAGACTCTTGTAGCCCACAGGAGTCAGGAGTGCAGTACAAGGCAATAGGCAGCTTTGCTGGGAAGGTGACGGGGTACATTTAATGCTTCCTTCCATCAGCACAAAGAGAGAACCAGATGGGTTTCTCCTGGAAGCTAACTAACTTCATTTCCCCCTTATGTTTGCTCTTTCTTTTCAAACATCTGGCTTTAACTCGGAAAAGTCTGTGTGAACAATCCCAGTGGGAACTCATTGTATTAATCCCAGGAAGCTCCTGGCAGGGGACGGTTTTGTATTAACTTTGGAAAGAATTCCAGTGTGGCCTTTGTTTTCTTTGGAATGCTCTACTTACAAAGTTGGGATATGTAAGGGATTCTAAGAGGAGCCACTGTCTCAGCTAGGTCTAGGTCAGGGACCCACAGCATGAAGGACACCTAATAAAGGTTGATAGGCACACTTGGGGGCAACAGCAGGGCAAACCTCAGCCATGGCCTTTTGACTGACTGACCTGCCTCTGGTGTGCAGCCCATGAGATCATCCTCTGAACATGAATCCCGTGCAATACAGCAAAGATCTATTTTTGGCTTGCTGGGTATTACAACTGTCTGATTTATAAATTAATCTGGGACAAGAGTGTCATGTGATGGGAAACCTTGTCCTGTGCATGGTATGTGTAACGAATCAGATGCACAGCCTAAGAATGGATGCAGTTTAACTGAATTTATGTTATTGAACTGCAAAATAGTGGGTGAGCTTCTATTTGAAATACTGTATAAAGGCCCTAGGGAATTTGTGGCAAACAGGATTTACATTTGGCCAAACTCCTGGATACTCTTGGGGCAGCAGACTGGAAACTCAGTGGCAGCTTTGTTTACATTATAAAAGCCCCTCTTTTTGATTACTCTGTTATTAAATTAAGATTATACACCCCCCCCCCCCCCAAAAAAAAAACCTCACTGCTTGGTCATTTTTTCCAAGAATGATGTAAGATTTAATTCTGAATTTTCAGAGTTTTGCTGAGTTGTGTCAGAACATATTGTTTGTACTTAATATTATTACAATGCTGCACAGCATATGTGTTATCATGTAATTGCACAAAATGTGCAGAACAGACATGAAACTGCAAATACTTGGCTTGGTTTGGTTACAATCTGTTTGCAAATCTTTGGAGTGAACCTGGGATGATTTATGGAAAGATTCAGTGTCACATGGTTTCAACACGAAACCAGGTACAACATGGCAATTCTGACTGACTTTCACTCTGTTTCAGAGTCCTTATGAACCTGATACGCAGTAGCGGCATGAATCAAAACCAAAGAAAATGCTTGTAGACAAAAGGCCTGACTTTTTACTTTCCCCCCTTACAAAATTCCACCGAAGGGCTGCCCGTATTAGGCCCCCAAACTAGTTGATTTTGCACTTTTATCATAATGGTAATGTCAACTAGCTTTTCAAAGCATGCTGTAATGATTGATTGACGTAAGAGTGAGGTTTATATAAATGCTGGGCTTGTTGGAGTTTTCATTCCCCTTTTTTCCTTTTCAAATTGATCTAGTTTGTTATTAATTGCAGGGGCAACAATCAATAGGGAGAATATCGCTTGATTGTTAATTACACATCTGATGAAGAGAGATTAATGGATCTGTTAAAAAACAAAAAATAACTTCTTTTGCATCCCTGATCTTTAAAATGAACTTCTTCATATGGTTCCAGTACTGTTTTCAATATTAACTGTAGCGGTTTCATACTCATTTATGAGAGGGTAACTCCATTTGGCTTATAGGTAGGCTGACCTTGATCATAAGCAAAATAAGTGGTTTACAGCCTTGGGCCCCATTCCAATTTGACAACATCATCTCATCTGGACACAAAATTGGAGAGGGAGGAAATTCAGGGCCTAAATTTTCACCCTTCTTATTGTCCTTCTCCCAGATCCTGATTCTATGATTCAAGGATAACAGGCCCACATCTTCAAAGGTGTGTATAGGAACCAGATCCCCATATTAGGCCCAGATCCTCAGAAGTATTTAGTCACCTAATTCTCGTCGATTTCAGTGGCACCTAGGAATTTAAATACTTCTGTGGATTTGGACTTTAAGTCCTAGTTTTAGACATCACTATGATCCACAAAACCCTGCTTGGCTGTTGCCTAACCCTGAAGATGCTCAAATTTACTCAGTGCCTAAATTTTTGGGGCAAAAGTTCTATTGATGCAGAAATTTCTGCTTCTGGATATGTGCACTGATTCCTCCCTCTTGGTGTCTGGACATCTGTCTCCCACCTCAATCCCACAGTGATCCATGAATTGAGAAAAACTAAGCATTCCTCCACCTGTCTTGCCACATAAGGGTGCTTAGAGGCCATCTACTGGATCACGTCCTAGTCTAAATCAGTGGCAGCTTGTGCCACTACGATATAACTTTTAGCCCAGTAGTTAGCAAACTCATCTGTAATGTCAGAGAGCTGGGTTCACTCCCCCCCCCCCCCCCCCCACCAGGCAGAGGGAAGGAAGGGAACAGGGATTTGCCTCCACCCATTTAGGAGCATGTGCTAACCACTGAGCTATGGCATATTCTGATCTGGGGCTCCCTCAGTGTCTCCTGTTGCAGTTTTTCTAATTTGGATTAATACTTAAATAGACATTGGGTCAGAGAGTGAGAAAATGACTATAGTCCAGTGGTTAGGCCACAAATCTGTAAGGTGGGAGATCCCAGGGCCAGTCCTCCTGCCCCAATTACTCTTTCCTTATTTACACATGGACGAACATAAGTGAGACTGAGAGAATCCTGCACCAGAATAGCTCAGTGATTTAGAGCATTCTCTTGATCCCTCTTCAAGACTCTTTCTCTCCCTCAGGCTGACATCCCAGGTGAGAACTGGGCTGAAACTTGCAATGTCAGCAACAGTACCGCCTTCCTCTCATGCTATTTTATTGGAGCAAGATAGGGGCCTAATTTATGCCCACAAGAAATGGCACAGGCATCTAAGCCACTTGACTCTGGGAGAGGGAGCTCCCAGCTGGAGCTTGCTAGCTAAGGAAGACACCTCCCTGCAACCCAGACTTAGGCATGAAACTCCTTAGAGCAGCGTTTCCCAAAATATGGGCTGCGGCCCGCTACCGGGCCTCGGGAAAAAAATACCGGACCTCAGCGTGCCTGGTGACTGCCGGCAGGGCCGGCCTCAGGCCAATTCGGGCCCCGCACCCCTAAACCCGGAAGTGCCAGCTGGGTCTCTCCCCCGGTTCTGCCTGGCGCGGGCCCCCCCGCGTGTCCTACCGCCCGAGCGTCCCCACCGTGCGCGGCTCCTCCTCACCGCCTGCTGCTGCCCATGTGCGGCGTTGCATGTGGGTGGGGAGCATGCCCGGGCTTGACGTGACGTCACGGCCTGAGATTTTAAGTCTTCGGAGGCACGTGGCGGGGCCACGCTGGCTCTGGCGGCCTCCGGCCCCGCAATGTGGAAGGCAGAAGGTAGGGAACGGGCTTGGGCGGAGGCGAGGAGGCGGCAGCGGCGGGCTTGCGCGGAGGGGGAGGAGTGGAAGGAAAAGGGGCTTGGGTGGGGAAGGCACCAAGGGACAGGGGTGCAGGAGAGACAAATGGCAGGGGGCCAAGTGCAGACAAGGAGGGAAAGGGCAGGAGGGGAGGTGTCAGTGGGAGGGGGACAGGGTGATGCTGGGAGAGGAGAGAAGAGGGGAAGGGCATTGGGGGCTGGAGGGGGAGGTGCTGGAGAAGGCTTGAAAGAAGGGGTGGGCATGAGAGAGGTGGGGATGGAGCAAGTGATGTGTGAGGGCACAGAGGGGCAGGAGGGGATGGGGCAGAGAGTGCTGAGGGGGTGGGTATCAGGGAAAGA